CGTTGAGAGCAGTGCATTTATTAAAAGTCAGTAAAACTCAGTTTTTAGACAAAAATTTTTATCATTTTTGGTTTGTAGACTCTGATAATTATCATTATGGACTAAGCACTACAAGTCGATTATTTTTGTGAACGCGGTTTTGAGATAGTGAATTATGCCGGTAGTCTTTTACCAGATTCCTGAAGTATTCAATCTCATGAGCGTAAAAATGTACAATTTGGTGATGGAAATCCCGAAGTTTTGGTATACAATATCTAGATTCGACTGAACAGTTACTACATCGAGTTGTTGTTAACATTCCTTATTTGGGATTTTCACTAAGCGTCCCGACATCTTCAGAGTAAAAAGTTTTTAAAACGTTCTGATAGAAAATTAAAAAAAAAATCAGTGAAATTTCTTTCATGTACGTATAATCATCAAAAATAATTTTAGATAATTAAGTTCCTTAAAAATTTATCTAACATTTATAAAATTACATTGAAACATAGATTCTGCATGCTACTTGGCTGCTGAAACCTGCTGATGCATATGAATGATGCCGTGTGGATTCTAAGAGGGTCTTAGGAGAATCTGTCAAAGTGTGGCTATTTTAGTTGTGGCTATGAGAGAAAAAATCTATATAAACAGATAATAGAATTATGAATTAAAATGTTTAAGTTTGAATATTGGAATTTAAAATTATAGCAATCAAGTTAGTAAAGCTCAATTCCATTTCGTTACGTATGTACATACCTTTACATACATCTAAAATTTGCGTGTGTGGTGTGTGGGTGTGTATATGTGTGGTGTGTGTGAGAGTGTGAGTGTGTGTGTGTGTGGTGTGTGTGTCTGTGCAATAGATTATACCTTGTGTGGACAGTTATTATCAGAATTCACTTTTAAGCAAAGTTTCTACGTCAGCAGCATATGGCGAAATTTCTCTCAAGGCATCTAAATATAGAAGCAATGGCATATGTGCATGTAAGCAATCTAAACTCTATATATATATCTACACACCATATACATAAATATATATATATATACAGATAGATATATAGATATATATCTATACTATATACACATAGAAACATATCAATACTATAAATGTAAATGTATATACTAGATATACACATAGAAACATATCAATACTATAAATATAAATGTATATACAATATATTCATATGTGTTAGAAATTATATTAAAAAAACTTACTTGAACGTTTGACGAGTTAGGTAGAAAATGAAATGAGAGTTTATGATGCGTTAAATCTAGTTATTCTTCAATGAAAAGCATTGGTAAATATACATTTAGAGGTACCTCAAATTTTATATTAAGATGGACATTGGCCAGGCAAGAATCCGCCCACGCGTTTGTGTATTTATTTTTAGTTGTGGACACATGCACAGCTGCCAGATACAAATATATGTTTGCGTGTGTATGTGTGTGTATGTGTATGTATGTATGTATGTATGTATGTATGTATGTATGTATGTATGTATGCATGCATGTATGCATGTATGTATGTATGTATGTATGTATGTATCTATGTATGTATATGTCGGACAATCGAACAAGTATGTATATGTGTGTATGTGTGTGTGTATAGAATGTGTTTGCATATAAAAGTTTCGATCAATGTTTCGTTTCAAAGAAAGGTTCATTTTAGTTTACTGAAGACCAGCACTACACAAAATGTTCTAATAATAATAATGATACAATACCTATATTATTATACATCATCTACATGATACAATATCTATTAGTAGATACAATATCTACAATAGAATAAATGCACGTGCATGCATATATAATACACTCATACACTCCCACATACATATACAAAAAGTCATACAAACACAAAAATATACACATACAAAAATACCTAACGCATATACAATAACATACACATACATAAACATAGATTCAAACATTTTAATGTAGACAAACAGACTTAAACATATACATACACATAAATATACACACACACACACACACACACACAAACACACATACAAACACAAACATACATATATACAAATATTGGGCCATTTTCATAACATTACGTCTGCATAATTGTGTACGTGTCACACACGCACGTTTTAAATCGAACAGCTGTTCAGAAGAGCGAGGAGGTAGATAGATATATAGAAAACTAGATATACAAATAGATATTTAATACACACATGATACAAACAGATACAGATAACATAGATACACTTGATACATATCCTATATTGACTGTACTATAGAGATAAATAAGGTACACATACACACGTATGCAATATATACAAATATACATCTATATATATATATATATACATATGTATGTATATATGTTTTGTATGAATGTATGACATAGCAATACATACAATAGAGTGGCAAACAGATGTTTATTAAAGTCGTCTTCGTAGCGATCAAGGTCCAGGATTCATGATTTTTACATTAGTTAGTTAGTTAGTTAACACACGTCAACAGTTAAACAACAGCGCAACAGTACTGCGTTACAAGTACATACGTACGTACACAGTGCTTGCTACTACTACTACTACTACTACTACTACTACTACTACTACTACTACTACTGATGGTTAATAATTCATTTCTTCTTAAGCTATTAAATTAATTTTGTTCTTCGCCAGTTTGTTTAATTCAACTGATAACGTAATATTAAACTGACAGACGTTAATTAGTTCGGGCGATTATTTATATTTTCAATTATTCAAAAGCATGTAAGCCAGTGATTCTCAGTAATCAGTTGAAACTGTTGACAAATCTTACGACACACCATCTACTGTAGCAGAGTGCATTGTTTTGTAACATATTGCTTGGTGTCTCAGTAGCAGAACAACAGTCAACTCAAGATAACTCTTCGCGTTTGAATTTTTATTTTGTGACAGTTCACTGAAACACAACTACTTGAAAGAATTGAACAGCGAAAATGGCAGAAACATCATCAACTTTGACTGCAACTCTGCAAAAAACTTCAGCTAGTAACGCCTCGGAAACAACGGCCGCAACAATGTCAGCTTCACACACGGAACCAGCTGCTACGATTGCCAAACCCAACAGCCTGTCACTGGCCGAGATAAACATGCCACTATTCAAGTTCTCAAACTGTTTGGATGGTCAGGAGTGCAATGGGAATGCCTCGCATTCATCATTCTATCACAATGATGATCATGGCCTGAAAGAGAGATTCGAATCGATGAGCCTGAATGGAAATATGAAGGGTAAGTTTCATTCGCCAATTGCAGATGAGGGTAGAGACATACTGGCAGATACCAGGCACTTACTGTTCAACAGAGCGACACCGACCACTACACCTCTTAGCCCACTGTCACAGCATCAACCGCATCAATCTTTCCACATTCAGCAACAACCGACTCAGCCGAGGAACTATTTTTCATCAATATTGCAGAATGACCACATGAATGAGGGTCAACCACAGCAGCAGCAGCAGACACAGCAGCCACATCATCAGAAGCACTTGAATCAGTTTACAAATCTGCTACCCTCACCCCTTCAGCAGCAACAGTTTTTACCCTCACCTTATGACCTTTCACCTCAAGACCTTCCATTTTTTCTCAACCATCCCAACTTCAGATTCAATCCATCTACTCACATTAACAACAACAACAACAACATCAACAACAACAGCATCATCAACAACAACAACAACAACAACAACTTTCAGCAACACATAGCAACCAGTCCGAAATCTGAGGAGGTAAAATCCTTCTTGAAATCATTAAGAAAAAACAACAACTGCAACAACATAGGGACATTGCTCAACAACAACAAAAAACCTGACACAGATTTCAACAACATCTTCTACAACGACACGCCTCTTGAACTAAACAACAACAACACCTCCACGGCCAACAACAACATTTACGACAACTTTAAATTACCCAACTACATTGATGCATACGATATGGCCAGTATAGCTAGCAACAGCCAGCTATCAGAAGCTCTCATTTTAAGGCTGAAGCAACAAAATAGCTTAGCTAAACAGCAGCTGAATAATAACTTTTTCGATCTTCAGCTGGCTGGATCGAACTGCAGAGTCAGTTTTGAAGAGAAATTTTATAAAAAAAATTTCTTTAAAAAATTTTATGAAAAATTTGTATTTCTTTTATGAAAATGCTAAGAAACATTCAATTTTTTACGAGATTTTGAGAAAGAAGTATGTCTCTGTTAAGATATATAATGATATGTATCCACAGTCATAGATATATATCAGTGTTTTGTGTAAATTATGTTTTTTAGGAGCTGTTTAAATAGAAATAACTTGCTGTTCACATAAAAAATATCGTGCATCTAGTCATATTTTTAAACCCTTGGATGCAACAAAACCATTTATTTTCCATTTCGTTACCTTGAAAAATGAAATTGACTTCTTATAAACTATAATATTGTAGTGAAGTTAGTATCCAGAGTCATTACTTTAATATCATATGTCATATGATCATGGTATCATTCAGTCATTCTTCCACTCACTCACTCACTCACTCACTCACTCACTCACTCACTCACTCACTCACTCACTCACTCACTCACTCACTCACTCACTCACTCACTCATCTACTCATTCATTCGTTCGTTCATTCATTCGTTCGTTTAATTATTTCATTCTACTTATTTTATTTCAGGAGTTGTTGAATCGTCATTTCACCCTAAACAATGTGCCGTTAGTTGATCAAGAGAGATTGGCTAGGCTTTACTTGTGCGAACTTATTAAAGGTTAATTGATTAATTAATTAATTCATTCATTCATTCATTTGTTAACTCCTTCATTCATTCAGTCAGTCAGTCATTCAATCATTTGTTCGTTCATTCATTCATTCATTCATTCATTCATTCATTCATTCATTCATTCATTCATTCATTCATTCATTCATTCATTCATTCATTCATTTGTTTTTCCTAACATGAATTTTTTTAAACTCTGTATAAACGAGTGTGACATTTTCTTCTGCTAACTGTTCAATTTAATAAAAATGTCAGATAATCCGAACCCAATGGCCAGCCACCTGTTGAATAACTCCTTGCTCTCCGGGCTGACCAACTACCCCATTTCAGGGTTCGCCAACGGGGGGCATATTGAAAGTTTTTCAAGGAAAGTTTTTGTGGGTGGTCTACCGCCGGATAGCGATGAAAGTGAGTGGTGTGATGGAGAAATGAATGGACGAATGAATGAATGAATGAACGAACGAACGAACGAACAAACGAACCAACGAATGAATGAATGAACGAATGAATTATTTTCCTTATTTTTTTACAAAACTGACAAACATTCTGTTGGTTGAACCGACGGACTTTGACACAACTGGCAGAGATTCTACCACGACACTACTCCTATTGTTTGTTTAATTCAAGACTATCTATCACTTGAAATGCTTACGTAATTAAGATTTATTCCCATACCTTCCTTCTAACCTTTACCTTGAGTTATTATTTTATTTATTTTTATTTTTTTTTAAATATTTTTTTTCCTGTCCCAAAGTTTGAAGAATTTTTACGTAACTACCTTGCATATCATTAGCATTTTTAAAATGCATCTACATACAACGATCACTTAACTGCTTTTTATTATTAATATTATTATTATTATTAACTATGACTAACTACGATGATTATGATTTTATTTTAATTTTATTTTATTTTAATCATGACAATTTCTCTATTAATTAATTAATTAATTATTGACTTTACGCATTTGATGAAAAATAAAAGATCCGTTCCCAATATTAATATTATTATTATTGTTGTTGTTTCTATTATTATTCTTCTCATTATTATTATAAATATTTAACGCACGCACGTACACATTATTAAACATGTTTTTGCTTTCAAGCCGAGCGTTTTCGTGCCTTCGTATCGGTATGCTTGTTGTTAAGAAATCAATGGCTCCTTGAATATGCTGAATGGGGGGGAGGATTGATTAAATGTTCTAGTCTTCTCTGAAATGAGAAGGAATGAACGAACGAGTGAGGGAATGAAAGGAAGATTGAATGAATAAAAAATGAATGAATGAGTGAGTGGAAAATGAAGGAATGAATGAATGAATGTGTGAATGAATGAATGAGTGAATGAATTAATGAATTAATGAATGAACGAATGAACAACAAAACCAACCAACCCAACGACAGATGATATAACGGCATCGTTCAGACAATTCGGACCGTTAATCGTTGACTGGCCGCACAAAGCCGAAACAAAAACGAGTTTCCCGCCAAAAGGTATTCACAATTTTTCTCCCCTTCTCTCTCTCTTTCTTTCTCTCTCTTTCTTTCTCTCTCTTTCTTTCTCTCTCTTTCTTTCTCTCTCTTTCTTTATCTCTTTCCATGCAAAAGTTTTTTCATTTTTATTCCTTCAATTCTTTCTAACTCTCTTAGTTCTCATCCAATTATTTTGGCTCTTGCTGTGAAAAATAAAAATAACAAAAATAATAATAATAAAAACATAATTAAATTTATTATTATTATTATTAATTTTTTAGGGTACTGCTTCTTGCTATTCCAAGACGAGATGTCGGTGCAGAAGTTAATGGAGGCCTGCCAAGAGGACGACGGCAAGTTTTACTGGTGCATCCCTAGTACCTCCACTAAAGATAAACCCGTCAGAAGGGTCAGTTTCTGATTGGCTGACTGGTCGATTGGCTAGCTTAGTTGGTTGGCTGGTTGGTTAGCTAGATGGTTGGCTGGTTGATTAGCTAGCTGGTTGGCTGGTTGGCTAGCTTAGTTGGTTGGCTGGCTGGTTGGCTAGTCGGTTGATATGTGGGTCGAATTTATTTATTTTTTATAATTAAGTTATAAAAACGAATTGCGATTGAATGAATGAACAGCTGAATAAATGAGTGAATGAATGAGAAAATAAAAGAATGAATTAAGGATAGAGTTAATGGATGAATGAATGAATGAATGGAGGAATGAATGAATGGAGGAATGAATGAATGGAGGAAAGAATGAATGAATGAATGAACGAATGAATGAACGAACGAACGAACAAACGAACAAACGAACGAACGAACGAATGAATGAATGAACGAATGAATGAATGAACGAATGAATGAATAAACAAACGTGCTACATCTGTTCATATATCGATTAGCTCTTGATAATATTTTTCAATAAACTAGCATCATCATTATCACTACTGACTATTTCATTTTATATTATATCGATATTTTCGCTAAATTTATTGCTACCATCATCATTCATTACAAAAATAATAATTATGGTTATAATTATAGTTACAATAATAATTATAACAAAAATTTATATTATTATGAGTTTAAGCTCAATAATTGTTATATATTGTGATTTTGTTTTTAACTGCTATTTATCATAAGTGCTATTACCATCTTCAGTATCATCCCCACCATCATCATTATTATTAATATTTCTACAATTATCATCATAATTATTATAATTATAGTCATAATATTTATAATTATATTATATTGTAGGTGCAGATCAGACCGTGGTCACTGATAGATTCTGACTTCTTGATGGACGCCTCACAGCCACTGGATCTCAGAAAAACTGTCTTTGTAGGTGGCGTTCCTAGACCATTAAAAGCTGGTTGGTTGGTTGGCTGGTTGGTTGGTTGGTTGGTTGGTTGGTTGATTGGTTGGTTGGTTGGTTGGTTGGTTGGATGGTTGGTTGGCTGGCTGGCTGGCTGGTTGGTTTGTTGGTTGGCTAGTTTGTTGATTAGTTTGATGGTTGATGGTTGATAGATTGATTGAATTAAGATTAAAAGTAATTTTTAATAATCTCTCCCAGCTGAACTCGCCATAGCAATGGACCAACTTTACGGAAACGTCTGTTACGCTGGCATCGACACCGACCCAGAACTGAAATATCCGAAGGGGGCCGGGAGGGTTTCCTTCAGCACCCAGCAAAGTTACATTTCTGCCATCAGTGCACGTTTTGTACAACTGCAATTCGGGGATATTGATAAGAGGGTGAGATTAGCTGTTTCGCAAGTTTTTAAAAGTTAATCACTATATTTCAAATCTTTCATATCAATCGACTACACCTATAAGAACTAACAAATGGACATAATCTCGACAAAAAATTATTTCCCTCATACACGCGAAGGTCGAGGTCAAACCCTACGTACTGGACGACCAGCTCTGCGACGAATGTCAAGGTCAAAAAAGCGCCGGTAAGTCCGCCCCATACTATTGCGCTAACGTGGCCTGTCTACAGTACTACTGCGAAAATTGCTGGGTCCAAATTCACTCGAGGCCCGGCAGGGAATTCCACAAGCCCCTCGTCAAAGAAGGAGCCGACAGACCCAAAAGCATACCTCCGTTTAAATGGTGAATATATTTTTTTTGGGGGGGGGGGGAAAGCTAGCCCGCCCAAGTGTATCCCTAGTTTTAATTACTGAATGATATGTAGAGAAACATTTTGAAACGGTGGGAGAAAAACACGAAATAACATGTATAAATAGTGAATGAGTTTCAACTTGAAAGTTTTTTTGAAGGGTGTGGATTGGCCCTGATGCGCCCCTTTGTTTGAATTGCGTGGGGTTAAGGGTGATATTTATTTTTTTAATGGATTTTATAGAAGTTCCATTCGTTCGTTCGTGTGTGTTTTGTCATACAACTTCTAAAAATCGTTTCAACCTCTCCTTAATTATGTGTCCCATTGTAGTTATCGTGATTTTCATCACCATCGTCGTCATCATCGTCATCGTCATCATCATCGTCATCATATTGTGTAGGGAGGTCATCATCATCATCATCCTCATGTCTCATACGATCACATTTAAACATATGCATGTTATTTAATCATTATTTTACATTTCATTTTTATTTTTCTATAATTTTTTAAGAAATTAATCTTATTTCAATTTTGTTTTGATTGAAATTGAAATACAAAAGATCTTGATATATATATATATATATATATATATATATATATATATCCTTGCTTGAAACGCTCAATTTATACGTATTTGTATCGGTTAAACTTCGATTAATCCATATTTTCATGATAAAGTTTGGTAATTACGTAGTTGTATGCTGATGTTCGTTAAAACCGTATTTTTTAAATTATAGTTTAGACAAATTAATTATAAATTAAATACAAATCCTATTAACTAGATTATATATTACATAGATTATACATATGTGTGTATGATGGTTTATTAATAGCTGGTTTTTAGTTATTCAATGTATATGAGATATCATTAAGTTTTTATCTTTATAATTTTATAATAACAGTTATGAGCGTTCGTTCGTTCGCTCGTTCGTTCGCTCGTTCATTCGTTTGTGTTTGTTTTCTTATTTAAATTTAGGTAAATCGTTCCCACATTTCAAATGTATTAAAAATGTTTATTTGTTTGTTAAAAAATGTTTTGATTTCCAGTTAATTTTTTCACCTTATTTATGCACCAAACTGACTGACCAGTAACCATCAACTATTTTTCTTCATCAAGTTTATTCAGCTTATGAATGTAACAATGCCATTTTAAATTTGCGAATGAAAGAGAGAAAGAGATAGATGAAGAGATAGAGAAAGACAGAGAGATTTTTCATATTATAAACTGCAAAGTTTTTCTAATTATAAGTTTATTTAACTTCAATTTTTATATTTATATTTCATGCTGCTCTTCATGTTGTTACTAGTTAGAAATGTAGTTAGTTGGGTAGGTAGGTAGGTAGGTAGGATGGTTTGGCGTGTGATGTTTGTCGCTATTTCGCCAAACCTCTGTGTGTGTGTTTGTTTGATTGTTTGTGCGTGCGTGTGTGTGTGTGTGCGTGTGTGTGTGTGCAGCAGTTGTTTAAGAATAATTATAATATAAATAAATAAATATTTATATATATATAAAATATGCTTGTCAGTCGTCAATATGATTTCATTTATTTTTACTGAATTTTTACTGATTTTGTATGTCACTAAAAAAAATTTGTACCAGATATTTATTTTATTATAAATATATATTAATATATACATATATATATAAATATATTATCATAATTTGTTATTATTATCATAATTATTATCGTGGTTATTATCGCATATCAATTTCACGAACGAGAGTTGTAATGGTTGGATTGATGATAGGGGAGTCTGATCATTTCATACTCAAATATAAATTTGTAAACTTTTATACGTAGGATTCATTGGCATCAAATATTTCATACAAATTTAAATTTTTTTTTTTTTGGTTTTATCGAATTTATTTGGAAATATTTTTCTAAAATAACTATTTAGATAGGTTGTCATTGTTGTAATTTGGGTTTATAATAATATATAAAGGAGGTGGAGGAGGTCAAAGAGAGAGAGAGAGAGAGAGAGAGAGAGAGAGAGAGAGAGAGAGAGAGAGAGAGAGAGAGGAGAGAGAGAAAGAGAGAGAGAAAGAGAGAGAGAGAGAGATGAAATGTGTGTGTTTTTAATGTAGACTTATATTTCTATCTAGTTTACGTTATCATCTGAAAGTTGAATTCGTTTATATAATTTCATCATTGTGATTTCCTTTATAGATTCATAAATTATATTAACATGATTGTAAATAGAGAATATATATCGATTATGTATGTTTATGTTGATTATGTTTAATTTTTTTTTACTTTTGCACCATCTTATATATATATATATATATATATATATATATATATATATCTTCTCTAGTTTTTATTCGTTTTACTTCTTCTTCTTCTTCCTCTTCTCTCTCTTTCTCACACTCTTTCTTTCTCTCTCACTCTCTCTTATTCTTTCTCTTTCTTTCTTTTCCTATCTCTATCTCTCTTTCATCTTCTCTATCATATACATATATACGCAAGCTTCCCCCATACTTTATTTCATTTTTTGTCATTTCTAGCTTGGTATTAAGATTAAGCCACTTTTAAATTGCATTTTCAATATGTGCGTGTTAGTGTGTGTGCGTGTGTGTTTGTACGTGTGCGTGTGTGTTTGTACGTGTGCGTGTATTTGTGCATGTGTACATAGGTATGTAACTAAGTATTTACCCTATCTTTGTACTGGTTTCAATCTGTTTTTGATTACTTACTGTGTTATGAATTTAATGTTATATAATGGAATATATTTACACCACACATACAAACACATACAAATATATATATATATATATTTCATTGCGTGTGCTCATTTTTAAATATATATATATATATATATATATATATATATATATATATATATATAATTTGCCAATCATGATATATGTATGTGATTTATTATCTACTCTTAGTGAGATACACTGACAGACAGACAGAAACACACATACACACACACACACAAGTATATATATATTCATATATAGTACTTTCAATATATACTAAACACAGTGCAATTGTAAAGTAAACTCTTTATATTTTGTTATTTATATAACATTTATATATATATATATATATATAATTTTCTATTAACATTATTACGGTAAAGGACGAAATGTGGTTGTAACGGTTTATGGTACTTATTTTTTTTTCTAATATCTTGTCCATCTTCATAATCAGTAGTAGTATCATTATCAAGATCGCTATCGTCATCTACATCATCATCATCATCAATGTTACTACTCTTGCTATAATCGTCATCGTCATCATCATGGATTTCATCATTAACTTAATTGATTTTTACACATGAATTTATATCATACATTTGTTTTTAGCCGTATAATTGACGTAGAAAAACATAACGAAACATTACGAGACGAGACAGAACATAAAGTATCGGTTGGACGTACCGATTTTTCGCGTTAAGTCTTTTGTAGTTAAGTAAGACGCGAAACCGCATATAATCCGCTTGAACAATTAACCAATTAATTAATAACTAATTAGATTTAATGGAATTCGTTAATATAATTTCTATATTTCCGACACAATTATCGAATTTATATAGTGTTTTTTTTCATATTTCTCTTCTTTTTTACGTTTTTTTTGCAGGATATCTTTTTAAAATAAATGAATAAACTTCAAAGAGAATGTCTCTGGAATGTCCATTATGACAGTGATGTTGGTGGTTATAATGGTGATGGTGGTGTGGTTATAATGGTTAATATGATGGTGATGATGGTATGGTTATAATGGTTAATGTTAGTGGCCATGGTGAATATGATGAAGTTGTTAATGGTGATGACGATGATGATGATAGGGTGATTATTTTTATGATGGCAATGACAAATTATAGATAACAAAACAAAGAATCATAATTTTACAACATGATTACTAAATAAATAATAATTATGACAATTTACAGATTAATAGAGACATTCTAGATAGAAATATCACATTCTTCAAATTTGACAACCAAATGGCTCGAAATCACTGTGTAGAGATAAAAACAATTGTGTGTGTGTAAGTGTGCGTGTATGTGTTCGTGCGTGTGCGTGCGTTTGTATGTATGCGCGTGCGTGTGCATGTGTGTATTTATCGTACATTAACATTTTTACAAAACATGCGTTTTATTCATTTCAGTTCGCACTAAAACTAAAAAAAACAAATACAAATAATAATAAAAATAAAAGTGATGACGTCAACAAAGGTGATGGTCACGTGATGAGGATGACCTAATATACACACGAATGATAACGACAGTGAGGGCGGTGAGCTAATGACGTCACATAATTAACGATTAAAATTGTGGTTATAGAAATGTCCATGATGACGTAAACAATGTCGCGAAGCACGACAAAGAAACAAAAATCGACGATTATAAATAAGATAGAAACAAGCAAATAAAGGTCATGAACTTTGACCTCTACCCTCACCCATCAAAACTTATTCCCGGGCATGGCAAACATCCACTTTGGGACTCTCACAAAACCCGGAATGACCTTAGCAACGTACGGATGTTTGGCCGACATCAGATCGGAAATGGATCTATAATCGAGGGGCATCTTGCCATTCCTATCCTTATATCCGTATTTCTTTGCTAGGTCGATGGATAGCAAAACTTTTCCAGTAACTGATATAGCCTGTTCAAATGAATTAAACAATAGCTAGCTCTCTGATGGTAAGCCATTAGATTAGTGATTGAAAATTAGCGACATTGAAATATGCTTAAGATGAGCGTTATATGAATCTTAAAATCCAATAAAATACAGATACAATACAACACCACAGAGTACGTAATATAAGTAAATGAATCATTCTACAAAAATCAAACTGGTAATAAAAACACCAGTAAACATCCTGAATAGAATTTAGTTAATGAACAAACGAAAATGAACCGTATCCAATGGAAAATGAACCGTATCCATATAACCACCAACAACTAAACAAGGATAGCCTCTGTTTCCCATACGACGCCTAACCTTGGGATCGGAAGCTAAGCGAGCTATTCCCATTCCAGTAAATTCCTGGCTCTCGTATCTGTCTTGCGTTGTGATTTCCAGGATCTTATCGCGCAGGAATGACTGCTCTGTCGAGTCGAGTGTTTCCTTCACTGACTTTTTGAAAGAAAATTCGTTAGTTATCGCGAAATTATTTGAAAAAATATGAAAAATAATGATTTAAAAAGTGTTAATATTGCAAGAACATTACGGATAATTAATATTAACAGTGAAACAGACAGACAAAAACAGACAAACAGACAGGCAGACAGAAAGATACCTCAGTCATAACGGGGCAAGGCCAAATACTGACAAATGCAACATTATGTGGCTTCAATTCGACAGAACAATCTGCAGCCATTCTATCACAGCCCTCTTTGCCTACCTGTTGTCGTTTGATTGGTGGAACTTTTGATAGTTGTGATTTGATTGGTGAAACTTTTAGTAAGAGCAATGTGGTTTGATTGGTCAGGAAAAGTGGCTTATTTTGAGCCAGTATAAACGATTGGTTGAATTTGAAATAGTGGTTTTAATACAACTGATCTGATTGGTCGATGATGAAAAGAAATAATGAGATTGGTCTATTTCAAAAAAGATAATTATACACCAACAGTTAAATCAATAAATAAACACAGACAGAATAAAACACAAACAGTACAATTTGCTAGCACTTAAAATTATGATGTAATAATGACATATTACGATCCAATTTTAACAGAATTATCAAAAATATAATAATAAATGACCTAACCCCATATGGGACATTGTGAAAGTAGAACATCCCCCCTGCTGAAGATATGTTAACTATTAAACCAGTTTTCCTTGGTACCATTAAACGAGCAGCCAGGCTTGAGCACCTGATTTGTTCATTTGAAATTGGGTTTTAAAATTCAGTGATATGATTAGTTGGCTGGTTTCGAGTAAAGACAATTTCATTGGTTAATTTTAAAACAACAAGCCAATGATACAAACCGATAATAGTTTCTTAGAGCCACCCTGTTTACTTCATCCCATGATTCAGAGGGGTCCAACTCCCAAAATGGCTTGCCCATGTTACTGATACAATATATATATATATATATATATATATATATATATATATATACAACATATACATGCATAGGATGATTGGAATATAAATATAATAATAATTAACTAGAATCATGATAATAATATTACTAATTACTAATAAATAATAATAACAATGATAATAAAGAAAGAGTGAAGTTAATAACTAACTCATTGATGTATTTGAATGCGGAGAAAGCGCAATTAACTAGAACATCCAATCGACCATTTTGCTCCTTTTTAATCTTCTCAAACAGTGCATCTACTTGGAAATCATCCTTATGATCGCAGACCACCGGAAAACAGGTTCCACCTCGTTTCTCTACCTCCATGGCCGTCTCCTCCAGTGGACTTTTCTGATTTTCATCTGTCTTCGTCGCTTTTCGGCCGGTTATGTAAACTGTGGCCCCAGCCTCCCCTAACTGTAAGGCTATCCCTGAAAATTATTTATTTATTAATTATTTATTCGATTGGAGATTGCTTGTTTTTCAGAAGAGTTTATAACATATTTAAATAACAAAATTTTCAAACAAAATAAAAAAAATCAATCTTAAAAAATACAAAAGGTTACGTAAAAAATTAAGCGTACCTTTACCAATACCACGTGAGGCTCCAGTAACTAAGCACACCACCCCCATTAAACTCTTACTGACGGATGACATTTCACTAATTACACAAAATCACTAATTTTACATGAAACTTCTTTAACGACTGTTACGTAACAGCTCTTAACGAGTGTAAAGTCGAATGTTACTTATTGGATGAAGTTTACAAATTAAAAGTGAATATAGCTAATTAAATCAATTTAATTTTTTATTAAGCACAATTTTCGTTATTCGCATGGATATCCATGGTTATTCGTTATTATTCGATAAAGTTATTTATTAAATCTGTGATGTTTTATTTGAATTAAAAATTAAAATAGCCATCTACATGAAATACGAGTTTTTCATGTAATACACCAAATTTCATTTCTTTGTAGATAATAATGACGTCATAGTGACGTAATTTTTACTGCCTTTTATTCCACATATATAACAATGTAATAATTAATTGACAGTCATTAGAAATCACTTCAAATTTCAAGTTTACATATATTTAGATCGATAAATTGTTCTTATTTGATATCATTTCTACATATAATTCATGAAAGTAAACGCGTTTTTCAAGTTAAAATCAATAAATAGTGATCACATTTATAAATACTTAACCACAAATTCATCACCAATCGCTATAAAATCTTTTCAGAAACTTTTTCCTCTTCTGCCCGTTGTTATCATCGTTAATTTTCACATCAGCGTCACCAACATCAGCATCGGATTCTTCATCATTGTCAGTGGTGGAAGCTACCACCGGTATGCCAAGCACGGCCATTTCGTTTCCATTTTCACTCCTCATAACTTTTCCATAAGTATTTATTTCATTCATTCTATCGTTCATTCTTTCGTTCACTCCTTCGTTCACTCCTTCGTTCACTCCTTCGTTCACTCCACCATGCATTCCTCCATCATTTATCATTCCTCTGTATCGGTTGATGATGTTTCTCATTCGAGTCTTGTGATTGGCCGGCACGTGAAATGACGTCATTATCTCGCTGACGAATGGGAGTTGGTAAATTTTGGCGGGTGTTTCGGAGTTGATGTCATTCTGTTGTTGCTCTGTATAGGGATTTATTTTCAAATGGTTAAATATGTTAATTAAAAGTTATAAAGATTGCAAAATTTAATTTCAAAATTATTAACAATTGACTTGATCAGCATTATGTTTAGTAGTTTACGCTACGTGTTAACAACAGCCACAACTAAGACCACATTAGCTACAGCCGCTACTACTGTTACTGCTTTTACTACTACTACAACTACTGCTTCTACGACTGATAAAATCATTTCACACTTTAATAATAAGAAATAAATAAATAAATTAAAAAACTAACCGGTATATATTGAGACGACGAAAAACCCCAGAAAGAACAAAGAACTTATAATTAATTTTTTTGGCATCATCTGACTGTGATTGAATAAATTTGGTATAATTGAAGTAATTCTTAAAATTACTACTACTACTACAATTGCTGCTGCTGCTACTACTGCTGCTACTACTGCTGCTGCTGCAGCTGTTACCATTGCTACTACTACTACTACTACTACTACTACTACTACTACTACTACTACTACTACTACTACTACTACTACTGCTACTACTACAACTACTACTGCTACTACTACTACTACTACTACTATTGCTACTTTTCCTCTTGCTCTTTGTTATTACTACTGCTGGTACTAGTTGCTACCGTTAATGTAAGTTTTATTACGTTACTAACCAAAACTTTTTATTTAATTACTCATTTAATAGTTAAATAAATACTACATTGATGAATACAAATCAATATACCTAATGCATGGAATACATACTGTACCACATGAAGAAAATACTACTCGATACTTAGCGTTAGATACTGTATTTCAGGTATATTCCTCAAAAATCATCCGAGGGCTAATACAGCCCAAACGACTTTTCACTATAATATAAATAGAAAAGAGAGAGAGAGAAAGAGCGAGAGAGAGAGAGATAAATAAAGAGAGAGAGAGAAAGAGAAAGGGACATTATCAAAACAAGGGAAAGCCGAACATGCCGGCCAGTCGGGAAAGAAAACACATCCGTTTGATTGGAATCATTTATTTATTAAATAAGCATAACTTTTCTCTCTATGTTTGTTTATGTTTTTAAAAGTGTGTGCGTGTGTGTGTGCGTGTCTGTGTGTGTTTTTGTGTGTGCGTGTGTCTCAAAAAATAACCACAATCAATGATTAAAGTTATTGGTAGCAAATTTTAATCAAAAAATTTGACAACAGTGTTTTCCCGGTAAGTATGATTATATCTGTGTGTGTGTGCGCGCGTGTGTGTGCGCGTTTGTACGTGTATGTGTGCGTGCATGTGTGTGTGTAATTAATTATCATCCTAAATATAAATTAATTATCCAATTATTATTTAATCGAAAAATTCATTATGGTTAATAAGTCTATTTGGGTACGACATTGAACGACTAATATAAATAATAGTTGTAATGTTATGTTCATTATTCTATTCAATAAAAAATCAAAAAAGTCAATACACATGTGTATGTATATGTGTGTTTGTTTGTGCGTGTGTGTGTGTTTGTCTCTGTGTGTGTATGATGGTAAAATGTGTATGTAGAAGAAAGTTGGATGGGTGGAATCGTAATGACAATGCTTGTATTAAATGTTGAATGTACATCCAGAAATATTTTTGACATTCTAGTTTGTAGTATGTTGAAACTATGATTCCTTTTGAAATTACAGATATTCGATATATTTAGCAATTTGTTTTTTGTGTGGAGAGCTGGTTTTCGAATAACATGCAGGATATATTTATTTATATTATTATCTTTATTTTATGATTAAATCGTAAATTAATTTTATCTATTGATTAATTAATCGTACGTGATTTTTAAAGTAGTTTGAAAGATTGTAAAGTAATCGGTTGAATGATCAAGGAGAAAATAATCGACTGAATGATTAGAGAAAATTCCGAATGTACGAACTGAAAAATGATTACAATTAATTGAGTTAATTATTTTAATGAATTAAAATAATTAACTGAGTTAATTATTTTAATAGATTAAAATATGTAAACTTTGTGACGAGAAAATCCTCACTTGAATTTCAAAATTATTTGCCATCTGGCGAGCTCGGCATCTTCAATGTTGGAGCAAAAGTTTCAAAAGGGGGCAGGGTTGAAATCGTGTTAACGCTAATGTTGTTGTTGATGCTAATGTTGTTGTGGATGTTGTTGTTGTTGTTGATGTTGTTGTTGTGGATGTTGTTGTCGTTGTTGTTGTGGATGTTGTTGTTGTGGATGTTGTTGTTGCTACTTTCATCCTCGTTTTCATCACACAAAATGTTAATGCTTTTTGAGTTGATGTTGCTCGAGTTGTTTAAACTGTTGATGCTATTGACGCGGTTGATGTTGTTGTTGATGTGATGCTTCTGAAGCCTACTAGGGCTCTGGTCATAAGAATTAATGTTAACGTCAGTACCTGATGCATCTAGGAGACTGCCTTCGTGAATGTTGTAGAGAAGGTTTTTGCCGCCCAGACTTTCAAATTTTTCGTCAGATTGAAAACAGTTTTCAAAAGAAATGCAGGCTTTCTCATGTTTCTGCTCATTATTACTCACATGATCTGCATAGCTATCACTTAATGTCGATGATTTCACAGATGTATCTTGCTCATTACTTTCATAACTCATCCCCTCCTCTGAATCGTAGATGCTTTTGGATTCATTTTTGCCGAAAGATTTTGAAATACCTCCATCGTCATCCAAGACCGTGTTGTGACCAACATCTTCAGCGTAGGCATCAATACAAGACACATTTTCAATGTTGTTATACTCGATGGCTGTGCAGTAACTGCCAGCATCATTAGGATAATTTCCGTTTTTCTCGAGAATATTGTTGCTCTCATTTTGTTGTTGTTCGAGGTTGTTGTTGTTGTTGCAGTTGCTGTTGTTGTTGTTGTTGCTACCATCTTTATTTTTGTTGACCATCTGATTGAAAGGTGTGACCACTGCAGTAGGGATGTGCGTCGGGTGTGGCTGTGGCTTGTAGCACTGCTTGTGGTAGTAGTAGTATTGTGGATGTGGTGGCGAAGAAATAGCTTGGTGGAAAATATTTGGCTGAGGCTGACAATTCAATGATGGCTGGTAGGTGAAATCATCTTGCTGAAGATCTGAATGTAGTAGATTTAGCATACTGCCCGGACTGCCGTCGCAGAAGTTGTCAAAATTGTTGAAAATTGTGTTTTTGCTGGTATCAAAATTGTTGAAAATTGTGTTTTTGCTGCTGTCAAAAGTGTTGAAAACTGTGTTTTTGTTGTTGTCGTTTGAGTCTAGAGTGTCGTAGAATGATTTTTCAACATTTTGCTCTTCTTGTTTTTCTGTCTTAACTTTTTCAACAAATTCAACATCGTCTCTGTTGTCGTTGTGAATTATGACATTGTTATTACTGCTATTTTTGTTGATGTTGCAGTCGTTGTTGATGTTGCCGTTGTTGTTGATGTTGCCGTTGATGTTGTTATTGCAGTTGGCAACAAAATTGTTGCCCGCGTTGTTGTTGGTGTTGTTAAGACTAACGTTATGAAAGTTTCGGGAAGGATGAGCATTTGTCGCCAGCAACAAATGTTGTTGTTGATGTTGTTGTAGATGGAGTTGATGTTGTTGATGTTGATGTTGTTGTGGATGAAGTTGATGTTGTTGTGGATGAAGTTGATGTTGTTGTTGTTGATGATGTTGTTGTTGAAAATCGTTGGACGGATTAATGTGTTTGGAGTAAAATTTGCTATTAGAATAAACTGGAAAGCCATTGTAGTTGTCATCAAACCTACCGTTAAGTTGTTGAAAAGTTGATGTCGCTAGATTGATGTAATCGGTATCATTGCAGTTGTTGCTGCTGTTGCTGTTGTTGATGTTGTTGTTGTTGCTGTTGTTGTTGTTGTATAAACTGTTGTTGTTGTTTTTATTTCTTACATTACTGTACACAAAATTGTCGTCCTGCAAGCCTATGTTGATGTTTTCAACATTTGAGTTTGGAATGTCAATATCATTGAGGTTGTTGTTGTTGCTGCTGCTGCTGTTGTTGTTGTTGTAATTGCTGTTTGACATGTTGTTGATGTTGTAATTAATGCTGTTGTTGTTGATGCCGTCAGTTTTGTTGTTACCGCTGCTATTGTTGTAACATTCTAATTTCTCCTTACTCTTTTCAAATGCACCGCAAGCAAACCCGCCATCACTTTTGCCATGTTGGATGTAGTTGTCAGTCCCACCAACATTCACCTTCAATTCATTTCTCTTCGTCTCCCCATCAGCAGCATCTGATTTTTTTCCTCTAGCTCCACAATTATTTTTTTTAAAAGAATGCAAATCACCGCGAGTATAAGCAGCGGACCTACCTGTGACCCCACTTGAAACATTCTGAGAGACATTTCTTGATTTGCAGCAGGGCGCAAACAAACCAACAGCAGTACTGTTACCAGCCACACCACTGCCACTTTCTAAATTCTTACCACAAGTTCGGCTTCTGTTTTCATGGTGCCAGAGGCATTCACTCGTCTTGAAAGCCTTCAGACATCGCTGACAGGAATACGGGCGTTTGTCAGAATGAATTCTCTCGTGAGCTCGAACGGCTGTTGAATCTTTGAAACGCTTGCCACAGTAGCGACATTTTTCTTTGGCTTCTGTGCTGTGCTTGAATAGGATGTGTTTCTTGAGGTGGTAGCGCTCCTTGAAGCCGATGTCGCAAATGTCGCAAATGTATGGACGGTCGTCTGAGTGCGTTCGGATGTGGTTTTTGTAGTTGCTGCTCTGTGTGAATGTCTTGAAACAGTAGTTGCATGTGAACGTTTGTGACTGCTGCGGCTGCCGTAGTTGTGATTGTTGCTGCTGGAGGTTAAAGTAGTACGGTTGTTGTTGTTGTTGGTGGTGGTGGTCATGCTGCTGAAGCGTTGACGTTTGGTAGAAAATTTTCGTAGCTGCTGTAGGCACGCGCTGTTGTTTTGGCGACTGAAAGTATGGACCGACTGTTTCGAAGAGTTGTTGCTGCTGCTGTGAGCACTGAACATGATGAGAGAGCAGCTGCTGCTGCTGCTGCTGATGATGGTTCATAATTTGAGATGCGTAGCCATCCTCAAACATTCCGCCATTGAACAGCCTGCTATCTGGAGATCCGTGAAATTCCATCTTACCGCTGATCACCTCACAGGATTTTGTAGTTGAGGTTGGCGACAAATTTGTAGTCTCGTCGTTCTGTAGAGATTTTAAGACGTGTTTTAGCTGTTGTTGTTCTGCTGGGCACCTATCAACAAACTGAAACTTGTTGTAGTAGAAATAATTTTGCTGAATGAATTTATTGTACTTAGTAAAAGTGCCAAAGGTTTTATCAGACTCTATTGAATTACTGAAAGATAAATTGTTTATCGATGACGTCACTAATGACGTAGAAGTCGTCGTCGTTGTTGTTGTTGTTTTGTCGTTGTTGGTGTTATCAGATGTTACATTAGTCGTTGATGTAACGGATGAAATTGTGAAGTCCTTGTGGATGGCTAGGTGCATTTGTAAATACTTCTCCGTTGCGTAAGCCTTGCTACAGAGGTGACAAGAAAACATTTTGTTGATGTTTTTGTTGATGTTTTGTTGATGTTTTTGTTGATGTTTTTTTTGATGTTTTTGATGTTTTTGTTGCTGCTTTTGTTGATGTTTTTGATGTTTTTGTTGCTGCTTTTGTTGATGTTTTTGATGTTTTTGTTGATGTTTTTGTTGATGTCTTTGTTGATGTTCTTGTTGATGTTTTTGTTGATGTTTTTGATGATGTTTTGTTGATGTTTTGTTGATGCTTTGTTGATGTTTATGTTGATGTTTCTGATTTTTTGTTGATGTCTTGTTGATGTTTCTAAATTTCTCTTGATGCTTTTTTTACGACGTGACTAAAGTTTCTATTTATCTTAACACTTTGCTGATGACAATCTTTTGTAGTAAGGTAATTTGTGTATTATACAAAATGTTATTATAAATCATTTTGAAAATAATAATTAATTAATTAATTAATTAATGACATTATTTAGCGCTTCATAAGTTAGATAGATGAACAGCCCAATTAGTAATTCTGATCATTTATAATCGTTTGTTCCAGATTATGCGTTACTCGTTATCTTTGGTACTGGAGCAACCGGAAGTGGCAAAACACGTGATTTCCGGTTTTATGCGATTCATCACATGTTCGGTGGAGTGTTGAAAGGAGTTGCTAGTGATGATAATGATGTTGTTGTTGGTGGTGATGATGATGCTGTGATCGATAATTGAGAAACTAATAGAAAAGTATAGGCAAACAAAACAATGATGAATCACTATATATACATATATTATATATATATAAATAAATATGTCATATATATATATATATATTATATTATATATATTATATTATATATTAATATTATAACAATATTAATTTAATATTACTGCTAGGTTTATATAAATGATTTATTATTATTACTATTGTTATTAGTAGCAGTAGTAGTAGTATCAGTAGTAGTGGTAGTAGTAGTAGTAGTAGTAGTTGTTGTTGTTGTTGTTGTTGTCGTAGTTGTAGTAGTAGAAACAGTAGTAGTAGTAGTAGTAGTAGTAGTAGTAGTAGTAGTAGTAGTAGTAGTAGTAGTAGTAGTAAATTAATAATTAAATAAATATACGATAGATAACAATTACTGATTAATAATTTATATATTTATGTTTTTATTCTTACGGGAACTTTTTCAAAACAAAATCTGGAAATATATGCCATTATAAGACAAGCAAGATTCAACGCTATATATATATCTATATATTTTTATATTTATATGTATGTATGTGTGTATGTGTGTATGTATGTGTATGTATGTGTATGTATGTGTGCATGTATGTATGTGTGTATGTATGTATGTATAGGATAGCAATGATTCGACAATATCTATATCTACAATAAAGTAGGTGATGACGACGATGACGATGATGCAGTAATAACAGACGACGATACTGATAATGATGTTTTTAGATTTAATTAACAATTTAACACGTGTTAATTTTTCCAACTGGCTAATTGGCTCTAATCAGTTGATTAAATTTTATGGATGAAGTTAAAAGGATGGATGGAATGGGCGTAACGGCCACTAATGAAAGAATGAAATGCATATTATTAATTTCATCGTCGGTGTTTTAATTTCTTTGTGTGTGTGTGTGTGCGCGTGTGTGTGTGTGTGTGTGCGTGTGTGTGCGTGTGATGCATGAAGCGAAGACTGAGAGATTGAAAGAATGAGTTAATGAATGAATAGATGAATGAATCTGGAAATGATTGAACCAATAATTAAACGGATGAATGAATGATTGAGTGAGTAGATGAATGAATTATTGAATCAAAAAATGAGCAAACAGATGAATGGAAAGATGAAACGAACGGATGAATGAATGAATGAACAAATGATTGGATGGAATGCAAATAAATAATAATTTAATTGTTTAATTTGTTTATAATTCAATAAAATAATAATGAATGAATGAGTAGGTGGACAAACGTATGAAAAAAATGTAAATATAAATGACACACTATCAATTTATTCCTTAACAACAATCAACAAATTTTTATTTCATAATAAATCCATCTCAATTTTTGCTAGCAGCATCATCATCACCGCCACCATCATCGTCATCATCATCACCACCGCCACCATCATCGTCATCATCATCACCACCACCACCACCATCATCGTCATCATCATCATCATCATCATCATCATCATCATAGGCACAGGTATAGCAGTCTACCTGTATTGCGGTTTCCAAAGCATTGCTCGCCAGCAGAAGCATCATTATATGAGGGCGATACCATTTCGAAATGGAATCTTCAGGGGGTATGCAAGTGAGAAATATTTTTTTTCAAAATGCGTGTTTATGGGCGTGTTATTAATGCAATTTTTCTGTCAGTTTAATATGTAATTTTTCTCTTCTGGTTTAAGATTTTTATTAAAAGTTGAAACCAATTTTAACAGAATTTTAACGAAACTTGTTAATTAATCTATACTATTTCTTAACTATTTTACAAAAGTATCACGTATTTTTCCATGAAATTATTTTGAATAAATTAAAATGAAATTCTGAAAAATTCCTTAAAAATTTAAGAAGGATAATAATAATAAAATCATTCACTCGTTCATTCTCAGTACTCCAACATTGATCCTAAACCAACAATAAAACTCGATAGTCATCGACAGTCTTATGAAATTTCTAGAATTTGAACAAATTTACTTTTTTCTTAAAAAACCTCATTATTAAATAATTTTTTAAAAATATTAAACCTATTGTTAATAATATTAATATATAACTAATTGAATTTGAAAAATTTTTTAGGGTCGAAAAGAAAGAGTTTAGCAATTTTTCTATCCAAAGAATGACACAACCGCTTCATATTTACCATATTTCCAGAAAAATGAAAAACCCATCGAAGTTTCAAACTTTACAAATCGAAAAAAAACATTTAAAACTACACTTTGGGTAATAAAATCGACGAATTTTATTAAAAAATAATCCAAAATTCAAATTATTTTTCAATTACTGTAATTTTTTTCTTTAAAAATGAGTAACAATATTTAAACGTTGTCTCTGTTTAAAAGTTTTCGTTTCACTGGCTCATCGACGTCTGGCCGACAAATCTTTTTCAACCGCTGGAAAATTAATTTCTAATTTTAAAATTCACAAATTAATCACAAAATTTTCGTTATAAGCATAGATTACACACGCAACAGTTTCATATCGGTCGCAAGCATGCTTTCAGATGCTGCTTTCAAATTTAACATTTTTAAAAAATTTAAATTTTCAAACATACTTCAAAGAAACAGCCATCAACTAAATGAAATCGAAATGGAAACCTCATTAACGAAAACTAACCCAGATCACTTTACTCTTTATATCGAAACCATGCTAACTTTTAAAACGATACTAAAAGATAAACCAAACTCAACTTACCTCATATCGAAACCGAAACTAAACCCAAAACTTACCTCTCCGATAACGAAACGAAACTGAAATCGAAACCCACCTCCAAAATAGTTCCTTTTTCGTGGAAAAATTTAAACATGGCATATATCGGGATGACAATTAAGGAGGACATGGTCATGAACCAGCCAATCACCTGTCCGCTTAGAGGGTAAGAATAATCCATATATTTGATTGGTTGGTGCTGAATCACGTGGTACAAGAACGTTCCCTGTAAATTATTAAAAATAATAATAATTTTATTATAATAATAATAATTTTATTATTATTATTATTATTATTATCATAATTAATATTATTATAACTACCAAACAAATGAATGGAGTTGTAAATGTCCAGCAAAATTTCCACCAATAGCAAGGTCGATAGCCTAACATGTCAGTCAGAGCATCGTAATACCGGTCCACTCCTGAAAATTATAGTCAATGCAATTATAGTCATAATTATAGTCATAATTATAGTCATAATTATTGTTATTATTATTAATATTTATTTATTTATTTATTTATGACCAACCGTACGACCAAGAGATGGCGATGCACTCAAAAAATATTAGCAACAGTAGAACTGTTCCAGAAGCTGAGTAGAAGTTGAACAGCTCAAACACGTATATGCCGCCCTGCATGTTCGCGTGTGTGTGAATGTGTATGTGTGTGTGTGTGTGTGTGTATATGAGTGTGTGTGTGTGTCAAACCTGTGTGACCATGGATAAGCCGACTAGATATGACAAAACGCAGGTTACTAGGACGAAGACTTCTTTTCTTTTTCGAAATAAGTGAGGCCATTCGTCAACAACAGCCGTTACGAAGCCTTCCACCGTGCAAAACTGTGCGTGTGCGTGTGTTTGTGCGTGCGTGCGTGCGTGTGAGCGTGTGTGTGTGTAGTTGTTTGATTGACTGATATATGATTGATAGCAATTTGATTGGTTGAATGTTTATCTATTTAATTAATATTATAAACAGCATCATCATCACCAACACCACCATAAACAGCATCATCATCACCAACAACAACATCATCACTAACACCAACACCACCATCATCATTATCAACATCTTTACAACTATTACCAAAACTCAAATCTCACCTGGCTATCCAGTCCGACAAAAAACAGCATCAGAAAGAATAAAACCGACCAAAGGGGTGACAATGGTAGTTGGCTGACAGCAGAGGGATAAACGAGGAACGCAAGACCCGGACCTTTGTGTGTGTTTGTGTGTGTTTGTGTGTGTGTTTATTTGTGTGTGTGTGTTTGTGTGTGTGTGTGTGGCTTTGAACTATGTCTTTTCGAAAGAAATATTAACCCTTAGCTAATTGAAAACATACATGGCTAACATAAACTAGACAGAATAAGGCTAAAAAAATGTGTAAATAGATTGAATAACGAATGAATGGATGGATGGATGAATGAATGAATGAACGAACGAATGAATGAACGAACGAACAAACGAACGAATGAATGAATGAATAAACTACCAGACTGAGCAACTTCGGCCACAGATTTTCCTTGCTGCTGAGCCATGAAGCCAATCACGGAAAATATTACGAAACCTGTATGAAAAATAATTAAGCGCCATAGAATCATAACAATAATTATAATAATTATAATTATAAATTAAATAATCATTATCAAAACCAATCATCGTCGTCGTCATTATCGAAACTCGAAACCTGAAAAAAGGCTCGTCCCACTGTTGATGCAAGAGATTATGAGAGCGTCCCTTGACGGCAAAGAGTGAATTTGTTAATTATTTTTAATTAATAATAAATTGAAATTATTATAATAATATTTGTTTGTAGTAATAATAATATCAATAATAATAATAAGACGAACGAACGAACGAACGAACGAACGAACGAACGAACGAACGAACGGACGAACGAACGAACTGTTTATTCATCGAGCGAATAGATTCGATTTGGAATAGATGAAAGATTGATAGATAAATAGAAGAATTCGTGAATGAATGAGCGAATGAATAAACGAATAATAATAATATTTAATATTAATAATGATTATCATTATTGATATTATAATAATTATAATTTAAAATATTTTTTTCATTACTTCATGCAGTTGTTGTGATACTTATTGTAGCTTCCCAGTGCAATCTGCGCTCCGAGAACCAGTCCGTACGAAAAAAAAATTTGCGTCACAGCGTCTATCCAGACCTATAATTATAATTTAATTATAATTATTTATTTAATTATTTATAACTAATTATATAATTTCAATTATTGTTGATTATTATAACAATAGCAATAATACGTAAAATTTGTACTTTTAAATTTGAACGATAAGCTTTTTTAGATGCAGAATACGATCAGGCTGGGACACCGAGCCATTTTCACGAATAACAATTAGCATATTCTACGTATTGTGTCGGTTTATTTAAAAAAATAAAACAAAATTACAGAAAAAAATAATTTTTATACCCACCATAGAATCAGAGAGGCGTGAAAAATTAGGTTTCAAATAATAGGTAATGCCTTGACCGGCCCCTGGCAAAGTAAGACCCCGAATTAGAAGAATTAGTAACAGAACGTAAGGGAACATGGAAGTGAACCAAGTTATCTGTACGTGTGTGTATGTGAGTGTGAGTGTGTGTGTGTATGTGTGTGTGAGTGTGTGTGTGTGTGTATGTGTGTGTGAGTGTGTGTGTGTTTTTGTGTGTGTGTTGGTGGTTTGTGTGTTTGTGCAGTTCGATATCTTTGTCCTCTGTGATGCATCTCTGATAGCTAACAAACTAGCAACAAAAGCATGGCGAAACATTCAAAAAGAACCTTTCCAGTCCACTTGACACCTTTCCAAATGGCGAAGTAGCATGCAATCCAAGCTAACAACAACGTCAATGCCAGCTCCCATCTTATTATTCCAGGAGTCCATAGGCCGTCCGTAATTTGAAGAACGCGATACCTAGATGTGTGCGTGCGTGCGCGTGTGTGTGTGTTTGTATATATATGTGTGTGTGTTTGTATATATGTGTGTGTGTGTTATGCGATGTTATATTGGGTGGTCATGTGCTGTTGTGTTGTAACAACAGAATGTTTTATGTTTAAACTTTAGAAAAGTTAGAATCTAAAAACTTCACCAACTCCCAGAATTCTCTCTCAGGGGAAGCCGTCATCATATTCTCATCAGGACACATCTTCGAATGATTGGAACTCTCCCAATGGAAAGCAGAACTATTCATCGAACCAAAACTTTCGACACTTTCACTACTTCCGACTCCGTGATTACGACAATGAGCGAGTTCGTAATCAGATCTACACGAATATGTATTCCAGTAATTATCGCAAGAGGACCATGGCAGAACGGATGTGAACGAGGAGAACATATAGAACGTACCCCAGGCCAATACAACTATGTAGTAGACATTCAGCCAAGCGGCTGCAATAAGTGCACCATATCCCACCCCTGTTTTTTGAGATCATGTTTAGTTTTAGTTAAGTAGTAAAACTTTGCGGTCGAGTATTTTTTATGAAAAATGTAAGGCTGTTTTGAATTTAATTAATTTTTGTGAGAAATTTATGTAGCGCTTTTTATATAAAACTTATAAAGTCATTAAAATTGGAACCTTTAAAGACGGGGCAAATCTTCCAAACACCCAGACCACCGACACTCAGATATTGACCTAAACTCAGCTCCAGAAAGAACATCGGTATGCCAGCGAAGAACAATGTGATCAAGTAGGGTATCATAAATGCACCTTTCATGAATAAAATTTTTGGTTTTTGACATTTTTACTAGTAAAATAACATGTATCGGAATGATATAACAGCATATAACAACAACAAGATACATCACAGTTACGCGCATTTTGAAATTGTTCAGTGGGAGATGGTTTTTAAGAACGCATTCATTCTTTCCAATGAGGACTTTTGCATATAGATATCAGATAAACTTTTGAATTTTCAATCGGAATTTAATCAGTTATCAAAAAAATTGTGTCAAAAGTTTGACAAAATGTTAGAAATGAAATTTTCCAAAAGCTAAAATAAAAGCAGATGCGTGTAAGTTTCGGCAACAAGTGCAAAGTTTACAAACAAACAAACAAGCGAATTATCATAAACGTTAGCTGAGCTGAGCTATATGTGTGTAAATGTTGGTGTTAATTAGAAATATATATAATTGTTGTTTATTTACATTTGTTACTGCCACCATTATCGGCATCATGACATCGTTTCCAGCATCATCATTCTGTCATCATCAGCCTCATCATTTCATCATTACCGTCCCTTTATTATCATTCTGATGTTACAAAAAAATTATTAGTGTTATAAAATACACTTTAAAAAACATAGACAAATAAAAGAAGCCACCTACCTCCACCATTTTTGTAGCATAGATATGGAAATCTCCAGACATTTCCCAACCCGACACTGTATCCGATACAAGAAAATATAAAATCCATTTTCTGAGTCCACTGCTCTCTAGGAGGTAGGTCAGGGGCTGGTAGGCCAGGGGTTAGGTCGTTTTTCGGAGTAGTCTCCATTCCAACCGCTGTGGCTGCTGTGGTCGTAGTCTCATCTTTGGTCATGTCATTGCAATCGTCAGTCTTTAATCCGTTTAATTCCACTTCCTCCATATTTTGCTTTAATTAATTCAATTTAATATTTTAAAACTTAATTTAATTTTTTCAAGATTACTTGAGGTGTTATACTGTATTATTTATACATTTTAAAAGCACACTAAATATCTATTTTATTTAAAACTATATTTTTGATAAATTTATTAATTAGCAATAATTTAATATTAAATAATTAATATTTTTAACTATTTTTTTATGAGAAATCTGATGATGTTAGCTCATCGTATGTTTAACTTTTAACTAGAGAGAGAAAGAAAGAGAGAGAAAAAGAGAGAAAGAGAAAAAGAGAGGAAAAGAGAGAGGGAGAGAAAGAAATGGAGTGAGAGAAAGAAAGAAAGAGAGAGTGAGAAAAATAAGATAAATGTTACTGAATTTTTTCACATTTTTTTCAAATATTTATGATAATCAAATGACGATAGCGTTTTATATTTTAATGCTGGTTGGTATTTTTATTAACAAATTGTACATTTTCATGCTTAGAAGAATGAGTATTGCATGAATCTAATAAAAACTGCCAGCTTAAGTTACTAAAACGGCGCACATTCAACAAAATAATCGAACTATAGTGCGTAGTTCATAATGGTAACTATTCGTGTCTAAAAACTATAAAGATTAGATAATATATTTATGGTATGAAACAGTATATTTGACAAAACTACGTATATAACTGCACATTTTTAAGCCATGAATCAACCTAAGTAACATAATGTTTATAATAAATTTAACGTACACATTGAAGGTATTGCAATGTAATTGTAAGGTAATGAATGTAAACTTCGAGACCAAGCTCACAAACGTAGGTTTAGATCTAAAAGTGAACTTCCCTAAAGCCTCTTTGGTTTCAATTTAAACTTTAAAGCTTTCTTGTCTTTCTCGTCTTTTTATTATTTTGAATCATTTTAATTAAATTAGTGTTGTTTTATAGACTTAATAACAAACGCGATAAATATTTGATTTTTTTTATTTTTAATATACAGTTAATTATTGTTTAAAAAACAAAAAAGTTAAAATAAAACTGAACAAAAACAATTTTACAAAAATTGTATTGTTAATTTTAATTAAATAGATTACTAATTTACAATGAGAATGAATGAATGAATGAACAAAATATTTTAAATTAATTTTAAGTTTTTTTTTAATTATTCAATATCAATAATATTAAATTATTATTAAAAAGACATTAAATTAAAAACGAAAACAAACAAAAGAAAAAAAAATTTTAAAATGGACAATTGCCATCATTGCGCTAGCAACCATGATAAGAATTTGATTGAAGTCATGGATGAGGTTTTAAAATCTGTGTGCCTAGGTAGAAATTGCCTATCCTTAACAAAGTCTTGTGATGAGTTAGGCAGGCCTATGATTTCACTTTACCCCAGTGAGGTAATTGACTTCAGTTCTCAGTATGGACCGGAGCGAAGCATATCCTACACAATCAACAACATAATTGGACCCCCTCAGATATTTCCACGTTATGGAGATTTCACACAATCGGCCGTTCTAGTATTCTTTTTAATTTTATTTTCATTTAGTGATTTTCTTTAACTTTAAAAGATATAAATATTTTTCTTTTGGTATTTATTTTTAATTTATCAATATTTATTTTCATTAATTTATTTGTTAGTTTAAAAAATACTAATTATCATAAAAAAAAACTTATTTGATATTTATGCTTTTGTAGAGAACTTATGGTAATTGGTGGAAGAAATTGAGACCGACAAAAGTCAGGAGGTCAAGAGGGTCATTTATTAGCGAAGATTTTATCAGTAAGTAATTATTGTCGCTATTAACATTTAAGATCTTTGGTAATGTTATTTTTCAGATGTGTTTTTTTTTAATATTTTGTTGTTAAGGTCATATATTTGATGTTGTTGTAGTTGGTGACATTAATGTTTGGTTTGTGTTAGTGTAATGTCTTTGATGTCGTCATGTATGACTTCTAAGTGCTTATTTTTTTAAATCAGCGCTGTCGTTTCCTGACTTTGTCGAGCCTTCCATGATTCAACTGACCGAAACGTATAACCCGGGAGCTCTTGTGAAGATTATGGCTGCGGAAATCAGAAATGAAAAGATTTTCAGGTTTTTGTTTTTTTTTCTGTTTTTGTTTCTTTGTATGCATGATTCGTCTTGTGCTTTCTTGTTGTATCTAGTTTTTTGCATATTTGGTTTTGGTTTCTTTGTTTTGTTTTTTTTTTAAATATAACCAATGATTTTGTTTGTTTTTTTAATATAACCAATGATTTTGTTTTGTTTTTTTTAAACATAACCAATGATTTTTTTTTCAAAATTGTGTTAAAATTCCTAGTTACTCTAACAATTTCATCTATAACGATGATTACATTTTCACTTTTAATCATAAAAAGATGGGTTGTGTTATGGGAGGCGACAGAGTTGTCCTCCAAAAGCTGTCGTAACAAGGCAAGGATTTTTTGTCCAAAGTTTATCAGGGAATGTCATTTTTATACAAAGTAAGGTTTTTTTTTTTTCTGCCTGCTCTAATATGCACAAATACAAGTTTATACACACGCACACAAATACACACTGCATAAATACAAGTTTATACACACACACACAAACACATGTTCGAACACGTACACATACAGGCTTGCACATACACACGCATACACACACACATACACATGTTCGAACACGTACACATACAGGCTTGCACATACACACGTATACACGCACACAAACACATACACAAACATACATACAGTATAATACGTTTGGAGTTTAACAGCTCGAATCTTCCCTACTACACTGAAATTGATTCTGTTGAGTTGTTTGGTCATGCTAAGAAGAAGGAGGAAGATGATGATGATGATGGTGAGTTGTATTGATGATGATGATGATGATGATGGTGGTGGTGGTGGTGAATTGTATTGATGATGATGATGATGGTGGTGGTGGTGATAGTGATAGTAGTCACGATAATGATGATGGTGACGACGTCGAAGACGACGATGATGGTGGTGGCAATGGAGTAATAAGCTTTAATGTTAACATCACTGACGGTGATAAAACAATTTAATATAACTTAATATACAAAACAGTACGGTAGTATTGGAGATGATGACGCTAATGATAATGGTGATTATGATGGTGATGATGATTATGATAATGATGATTATGATAATGAA